GCTAGGCTAAGCTGATGTTGAAGGTTACTCAGATTTGGAAAACACAGAAACTATTGTCCAAACAACACACTCATGGTAGCAAAAAATCCCCACCATTTGGCACTCATGAAATAACAGCTTATCTGTGTTCATGTAAGAGCTCCTGGGCAGCAGCAGTGGTGCTACTCTGAAGAAACATCACTCCCTCCCGAGTTTGAGACAGGACCTGCCTGCTGCTGAGATGGCCCAAGTGGCCCAGAGATGGGCCACTTGGGGTATTTTTTGTGCTTGTTGAGGAAAGGCACGGGCAGCCCTGTGTGGGGTTGTGCCTTCTCATTTGGATTTCATGTCACCACTGCTGAGAAATAATGGTAACTGCAGTATTTTTGTCTCCTGAAAGAGTAGGATGGCACATCCTGATGCCACCCTCTGCATTCCCTCAGCAAGTTTGCAGATGACACTGAGTTGGGAGGGAGTGTTGATGTGCCTGAGGGTAGGAAGGCTCTGCAGAGGGACCTGGATGGGCTGAATCCATGGGCTGAGGCCAATTGGATGAGCTTCAACAAGGCCAAGGGCCGGGTCCTGCTGTGGCAGGGGTTGCACTGGGGGAGCTTTGCAGGTCCCTTCCAACTCCTCACATTCTGGGATTCTGTGATTCCAGCTACACTCCACTGTGGCAGACCCTCTCTCAAATTGAGATTTGACTGGATTACTCTCTCTCACTTGCTCTCTCCAACCAACATTTCATCTGAACACCGTATACAAATGAATTTTGAGTATCAAATCAGGTCTGAGATGTTCACCCAGCACCAGAGAACACTCACAAAAATTCAGGTAATTTCCTGATGTGAACATTGATCTGCATCCGCTTGGCTGCTTGCAGGACAAGCCCTGTCAGCTGGGGAACAAAAGAAATCAGAGTCAAAAAAAAGGAATAAATGTGAAATAATAGGAACTGGGAGAATACAACTTAGTATTTACACTGGTGTGGCCTTGACAAGGCAAGGGAAGACCCACTTTGGGTTATTATTATACTGACCACAGTCAATGACTGCAAGGTGACAGAGATAATGAGCGTGAAACCCTTCTGACAGTCATGCCACCACTGCAAGGAAGGGTTGCAATTGGATGCACAGGGATTATTTCCCTCATTCAAGCAGCAAAATTTAGTCTGAAGAGTGGATGGGAGGCACAGGGCTCATTTTATGCAAATACAAAAACATCTGGACAAGTAGGAGCAGGGTAACAGGAAAAACCTGGCACCAAAGCAGATACCAAGGATCTGCACTAGACCTTAAGAGAGAAACTGCAATTTCCTCCTGCTTTAGCTGCATGTAACAGCCCGATGAGTCAGAGCACTCCATTTCTGTGAAGTGGGCAGGTCAAGACTTTGCACTTTCTCTTGACCCACGTTCCTACCTGTGGACTTAGAGACCAGTGTTGTACTGGTTTTGGCTGGGATAGAGTTAGTTTTCTTCACAGTAGCTAGGATATGGTTTGGATTTGTGATTAAAATACTGTTGATAACACAGGGATGTTTCAATTATTGCTGAGCGGTGCTTGCACAGAGTCAAGGCCTTTTCTGCTTCTCACACTGCTCTGTCAGTGGGCAAGAAGTTTGGGTTTGGGTTTATTTTACTTATTGAAGTGTCACTTACAGGATTGATGTCCAGAAACGTCTCATGATATTCTTTTTTGGGGTGCATGCCCTCTATGTCCTCTATAAACTTTGGATCTGCTTGGTAAAAATGTGGGGCTGATATAAATATCGGAGCACCTGGAACGTGAAAACACAGAAAGTCACCGTTTAGAAAAGGCAGAGCAGAATCTGAGGAAGTCTTTGAGGACCTCATAACTCTTCCCACTGTATAGGGAAAGGAAAAGTCAGTTTTGGAGCTGCAGACTCAACACTCTGACACCCGTTTTCAGAACAAGCCAGGCTTTCCACCGCCTGGTAACACACCTTGCTTGCAGATGCTGACGTTGAGGACGCCGGTGGCAGGGCAGTTTCCCGGCGGCACGCAGAAGCCCGCGTTGTCCGGGTTAACCGTCGTGTTGGCAAACAACAGCGCAGAGGGCACAAAGCGGTAGGCTGGGATGCCGGCAACCATTCCTGAGCTGTCGTACACCACGTAAAGAGACCTGCAAGGAAGACAAGGCAGACCCAGATTTGTCAGCCTTGGGCTCACGCTGACACCTGCTGCAGATGCCTGTGGGTCTGCTTAAGTTCACACTAAGCTATGGGCTTGGTTTAAGCCCATTTCAGTGATCTATATTAAATTTAATAGGCTTTTGATCAGCAAATATACATCTTGTCATTCTGCTGCTGCTGCAAAAAATAGATGATTCAGCACCAACTGTGCTGCTCCAGGGACGCTGAATTTTGCATAACACACATCTGTATTGACTTAAATAGAGAGTTTCAGGCTGGTTTTGTTCTTTACAGACAGGGAAACAGGGAAGGGAGGAGACCAGGTGGAACATAAGGAAGGAAACACCAAGATTTCTGCATCTTGTTGTGTTTCAAACAGCATTATGTCAAGTCATGAGTTTCTGAAGGGGGCAATCTGGGTTCTCAAAGAAAAGCAGGACACAGAGTAAGATTTTGGAAGGAAAGAAGCTTCATATAAAGCCTTCCACTTCCCTCATTACAAGCCCTGCAAGGCAGTCCAGCCTGTCTTTCCACTCACCTTCCAGATTTTCACTTTATTTATATATGCCTATACATATATAGAAATGGCACATCCTTAACTTGATGCAGACTGGGTTTTTTTGGTGTAACACTCTCATCCTTCCTACCATGAATAAATACAGAACACTCACACTGTTAATGATAGGAGAAAAACCACCAGCCTAACATGAAACCTCCACAAGAACGGATATAAATGCTCTGCTTCAAAGCCTGAGTACATTTTCTTCTCCTTACCTGCAGAAATCAGAAGAGAAGATATAAATTTTCTCATCTTTGCTAATCAGCGGGTGAAAGGACGTCCCATCGGTTCCATTGATCATGTTGCACGCCTCTGTTGTCCACCAGCTCAATGACCTGGAGAAAATGAAGCCGAGAGTAAGGATTAAAAGATCTTTGAGTGGTGCTCCCTTGATGCCAGCTCATGGCCTAAGCAAATGCAAATCAGAGCTGTGCAGTGCTTGCCTAAGCTCTGCTAAGGGAAAAAAGGGGTTTAAATTGCATTTATGGTGTCTTTAAACTTTAAAGGCAAGCAAGAATATGTCTATAAGAGCTTCTCCCATATATATATATCTATCTATATATATAGATAATTGCTGGCAGATGTTTTGTTTAATGGGAGAGGGATGCTTTAGGTTCGGCTTCTTTGTAACACACGCTGCCCACTGTTATGTTCATCCAAAATGTGAAAAAGGGCACATTTTGACAGAGAAAAACTCACTCTTTTCCTTTCCATTCCACAATCCTTGTGAAGTTAAGGTAGTTCCTTTCCCCACTTAGGAAAACGTATTCTCCATCATCGGTTCCATTCATCTGCGAACAGACAGAGGAGGTTTGCATCACTCCACTCATTCTCTGACACCTGGTGGCAGGAGTCAAAGCCATCATCACTTCAAAGACACCCTAGGACTGATGGAGTCCCCCTGAGCTAAGTGTAATTCGTTAAACTCCACCTTGAATATGAGTTGGAAATGACTGAGCTCGATTCTCACACCTCCCAAGTGAAGGAAATGCAATATTAGCTTAGCCTTTTTTTCCCTTTGAAATTTGCCACTGAAAAACAGCCCTAGCAAAAAAAAAACCAACAAACCCAAACACAGAAAATAACCTGAGCACTGCACAGATCTCCAAGAAAGGAGGAGTCCAAGCCCATGTTATTCAAGCGAGCACAGGCCATAGTGGAGTGGTTTACATCCACCTTTGGAAAGCTTATCCATGCCCGATAAAGGGAAGTAAGACAAAACACTCCCAGCTGTGCCACCAGCCAGTACCGAGATGCAGCCAAACCAAAAAGGGAACAGCTTTTTGCTATCCCTGCAGCCTAAGTCTGGTCTCAGCTCAGGCACATCCTTCTCAGGCGATGACAGTCCCAGCTTGGTAGCACCAACACCATTTCCTATCTAAAGCATCAGAAAGTCTTGTACCCCAGTTACCTTATTAAATAAACCAAACACCGGGTCGATCTCGGGGTGCAACAGATGCATGGTTTGCAGAAGCCGGTCTCTGTAGCCCCACAGCAACTCATGAACAGTGTGAACTGTAAACAGGGATTCCTGGTACAGGAGCAGCAGCACCTCTGTGGCAAACTGCAGAGGGGTTGACCTGGTCCACTCCATCGCAGTCTGCCAGGGAATTGGAATAAGGGAGAAACACAAAGATTTATTGCAGAATTAACACCAGCTGCACACAAACACAGACACCTTTCAGCACTGCACATGTTTCAGCTCTGTTTTCGGTTTCATTATTTCTCGTGGCAAGCCGTGTGCTGGCTAACAGGTTCCTCAGCTGCCCTCCCACAGGGATGTGCTCCTGCAGGCTCCCAGGCTGGCACACAGTCGGCGTGGTCCCGTGCCATCAACTGCCAGAGTCTTCAGAATGGATTTTAACTGAAATGTGCTACAGTGCTTTCTAAACAGCCTGAATTTCACACGGAGGTTACAGCTGGAGATGGGCTTTGAATTTCACCCTTAGGAAGTGATGGTTTACATTTTTTAAAGCCATTTTTAAAAGATAGTAATATCTCCAAAAGGCAAACAACACCAAAATTTCTTTCCTCTGTAGCTAACAGGTGACTTTACAACATGTCTTAAAAACCAAAAGATGGGAATATTCCTTGGGCAAACCAAACCGTAGCTCTTCTAGCACTCCCTGTTAAGCACATCACAGCCAAAAACCCGAACACTCGACAGTCCTTACCACCACTCAAATGCCTGGGAGGAATTGCAAATACAGCGACTGAATTGTTTGCACCTTTGAGGAAGCTGAGCCCTAGCTAATGCTACACACAGTACATTTATGTATTCATTCATCAAATCAGTCAGGCATTTTTGGAAACGCTAGGGGAAATGTAGACATGAATGTACCCTGTAATTGAAGTCAGTTAAACTAGTACAGGGAGTAAAGGCTCGGTTACACAACTGACAAGTATTCTAGTACAGTCTGACTTCCTTTGCGAGGTACGGCAGCTTTCTCTCTGCCTGTTCTCACACCATCCCTGTATGTGACCAGAAATAATGGTCTGCCTCTGCTCACCCAAATGACTCTTTCTTTACAGAGCAGTTTCACCTAACACAGTTTGGGAGCTTAGCTTCATTTTCACTCATGAAAAGCCAACGAGGCTGATTTCTGCTCATCTCTGCAGTGTGTGTCAGCTCCCAGCACAAGTGAGGCACAAACACTAGAGAGGGAGGAACATCATAGTAAAAACACCCCACAAGAGTCCAAACCAAAACTGACTGCAGTATCTGCCCTGGCCAGAAGCTGCCTCTCTCGTTCTTCAACCACCTTTATCTACCACAAAGGAAAATCCAGCATGAAGCAACAAGCTGCTACTTATAAAGTGTGCTAGGGCGACTTCCAAGCAGAAATGAAAGCGAACTCACCACTGCAGGAATATTAACTGTTCTAATCAGGTCCACTTCAGGGTCTCCAACTGACTTCTGAGGTTCAAACACGTATGTCTTTGGGTTCAGAGCAGATACTTTGGTACCGTTGTCCAAAAACTGAACGTGCACTCTTGGCCTGTATTCTCTGAAAAACAAGAGTTTTCCAACTTCAGCAAGTCCAACATGTACACCTAATATTAATTGCACTCAACTTATGGCTACCCTACTGCTTTAAGCACATAAAGGGTGGGATTTTCAGTTCATTAAGAGTAGATTCATCTTTGCTACTGCTGCTGTCAGCAACAGAGCTCCCCTTTGTGTCAGCGTGAGCTGAACCAGACCTCACAGGGCGCTTCCAAAAACGCCACCCCACGCGTTAATCGCCTCATCTTTAATAACCTTCAAGGAAACAACCTCAGACAGCACATAAGGATTTAGAGGCACTACATATGGGAATGCCACAGTACAATTTGAAAATGAAACTTTTGCCTCTTTGCCACGGGCAAAATTCACTCCCAGGCAGAACAAGATGCAGGCTTCATGTAAGTCTCATTAACCTGACCTAAGAACCTACCCCAACCTTTCTGCTGGCTTCAAAGTACTTTGCACTAGGGCTTCTAAGCTTACATGTGGCACAACCAGAGAACAAGCCCCATTTCAGCTTTTCTCCTTTAATTCTCAGGTAGGAATCCCAAACACGACAGAAATCCAACTGAATTTTTGCCCTGAGCTGCTCTCGGCCTGGGAGGTGGCTTCTGTCACTGCCTGAGCACTCAGACAAGCAACATAAAACTCAGGATTGCTGACAAACGAGTGTAAGAGGCAAGAAGCATCAAACGCTGCTCCGCTGGCCTGATGAGGAAGTCAGATGTTAATTACCCTGAACTATGTATCATAACCATAGTTCTGTCTGCTGCCACTACCATTTCACAAAGAAGAAACACAGAATTCTGCAGAAGAGGTTGGCTCGGGCTCAGAATGTGTCTTCAGCAAACCAGAAAAGGGAAAAAGCAGGTTGTCTACTCATGGCATGATCCTCTTGGCACACACAGGAGGTAAACGCACTGCACTTCGTAAGCTCACAATCACTCAAGAGTTTGTTGGCTTTTACGCTGCTTTGCTTCCTGTGTGAATTTCAAATACCAAGGTGTGAAGGTGAATTACTCTGCAAGACCCCATGCTAAGGTGTTTTTCATTCATTTCATATCCGAGATCCTATCTTGGCTGCACTGGATCCGCTAATGCCGCTTCATGACAGGCTGCATTACTCTGGTTCCGTCTTCAGAATTTAAAGCAAACTGGAAAGGCCCCTGAAACTGCTCCTGTTAGAAACCAACCACCTCCCATCTCCCTTACACAAACAGAGCATCTTCTGCTCTGCAGCATCCCTTCCACCCACGAATATTTTGGTCTGGCTTGATTCAGCAAGAGCCTCTTGCACAGCAATCGAATATACACCCCAGGGCTTGAACTGAGGGGGTGGGATGGAGAGTTGTGAAGTGCTGTCCCCAAAATAGGCCAGAGTTAACCTGAGAAGCCTCTCCAGCTCTAAAAGGGCCAGAGAGGAAGATAATACTCACTGATTAGGGATACGAGTAGGAGGAGCTCAGATATTAAAGACAAACAACTGTAAATGGGTGCAAGACCAGACAATATTCAAGTGATCTTTGGCACTCAGCAGGCCTGGGCAGATCAGCACTTTTCACTTTATAATTACTTACTTTATATCAGAAATAAAAAAAATCCAGCTGCAAATCCAGCTTCCAGGATTTAGAAGCACAAGCACCAACACACTTGGGTCAAAACCATGAATTGTTTCAAGCTTAATCACGCAGGAAGAGATCCTGTTTAGCTGTCCCACCTTCCTTCTGTCACTAATTAAGACTTTTTTCCCCTGTTTGTCTGGGATGGTTCATTTCCAGCCTTTTCATCACTCTATTTAATCAAAACACTGAGCCATGTACTTCGTGTTAGGGTGTTTTAGGTGCTCTACCACATACTAAGCCTGAACGGGTCTTGAATGCTTTGCTACATGGGGCCTGCGAGCAAAACTTGGTATTTATTCTCCGTCTCGTGCATGCAGTATGACTGCAACATCCCTCCCTTCTCCCTCTCCTCCCACACGCCTCTGGCAGCAACAGCTGGCCAAGGATTAAGGAATGTGCTGGAAAAGGGCCCTTCACTTCCCAACTTTCCTGTTTCTTCCATCAGACAGAGCACGGCACAGCCGAATCCTGCTCAGACACGTCAAAATCAGGCTAAGCAAACAGGCCAGAAGCAACCAAAACACGTGGCTCCCTTCCTTGGACCAAAATAAGTAATTTAGGGAGAGGCTGCGTCACCCGTCCCAAGCCTCTCCCAGACAGCCCCAAAGCAGCAGCTCAGGCTCGGACCAGCCCAGCCAGCTGCACCACCAGCCTTGTCCATCCCACTCAGCTCCCTCATGGATAAGGTGCAGCTTCTCAAACCGGGCTGTGCGTGACACCCAGAAAACACTTGGAGCTGTGGTTTTATGTGGGTTTATTTCATCTAGAGCTCGCCCTACTTATCTATTTATTTATTTTAGCAGAGAACGCACTGCTGACTAATTATCGGCATTTTACTGCAGAGACCTGAAGAAAAGCTTGGCAACTTGAAAGCTTATGTATCTTTTCTCCAGCTCTGCTGGTTTATAAAATACAAGGTATTCTGTCCAAGTACCACATGAAGTTTGCCAAGGCTAAACAGAAAGAGTGCTGAAATACAGAGGAGGTAGGGGAAAAGACTGATGGCAGGGAGTGAAGCAAAGCTGAGGTGTGGGAGGAAAGAAACAGAGAGACAAGACATACTGCAGAGACCAAAGAAACCACAAAGGCTCTCCCTTTCAGTCTATAGTAATTTTTTTCCAATAGTAACAACCAGATCCTGATCATTTCGCAGCTTAGGTAAAGATAAATCTTTCTGGCACTGAGCCTGAACGAGCATGTGGACCAGAAGTGAGATTGAAGATGAGAAATCAACCTTTTTGCTGCAGCTCTCACTCCTCCACGACTTCAAAGGCCGTAACGCCTCCTGCCACAGGGCCGCTCCTGGTTTACACCGCTGTGTGTGGCACAGCAGAATGAAGCTCTGAAGGAAAACTCACTTGTAAGGTGACTCGATAAATCTCTCCACGTGCACCTGAGTCAGTTCAGTGTGCAGCCAGACCACGCAGCAGCCGTCCAAGAGGCTGGATAAGCTCCAGCACTGCACATGGCCTTACCGAGCCCCTGCTGTCTGTAAAAATGTGTCTGAATCTACGCAGGTTTTACAGCGAGGGCTGGCTGAGGAAGATCCCTGTAGCACCACGCTCTAACCGGTTTTCTGGCCACATTTTTACCAATGTGAACTGTGCAACTTCAGCTAGGAACTGATTTCTGAGTGAACACGAGTCACGCTTTTATGCAACGTTCCTCCTCACAGACTCCCAGATATCCCCAAACCAGTCCATGTTTCTCGTCTCAGCTTTAGTGACACGTGAAAAGAGTGAAATGCTCCTACCGGTAGGTGTACGGCCCTATTTCCTCTACAAGAGGAGTATCGCCTTGAAGCACTTCTAAAGGATTCGTCAGGTTGAAGAAGTAGAACTGCATGTAGACTGGAGGAGGAGGATCCTCCCAGGCTTCAAAGGTTTCCGTGCCGTTTTTCAACACTGTTCCCTGCAACAGGAGGAAGACAAACGAGCTGTTAATGGTAGACGCTGTATATGATATTTATAGGGGAAAAGGGAATTCTCCGCCCTCAGAACAAGCACAGGCAATAGGATTCGAGACCCCAGTTCTACAAATACTTATAGGTATGTTTTACTTTCAAGCACCTCACTAAAATGCCAACATCAGACACACGTAGATTGCTCACAGGCTCAGGGCATAAATTTGTTGCTCTTTTTGTGCCGCTTCTTCCCACAAACACTTTTTCCTGGCATTTTTCAGAATGAAGACTCATCCGCTATTACACAGCGATCCCATCTCATTGCCTGCGGCAGCAAAACCCTGACCTGGTGGGAGACACCACAAAATGTGCCAATACCAGAGTGGAACTCCACAGCGGGAGGCCAAGAGGTCCTAAGAGAAGGAACAAGGTCAGAAAAGCAGCTTAGGTTCCTTGTGTGTATGATTTCTTTCCCTAGAACATCAAATTCCAGTAGAGCTGTGAATGTTGGTCTCCAAAGCAGTTACACTTTGTTTTTCAGTGGCCTGGGAGGAAAAACTGTGATTTCTTTCATTTAGGCACACTGGGATTCCTGCCCTTTCGAGCTCTCCCAATAGGCCAAAAAATCTTCACCCTCTGCCTTTAATTACTGTCCTATAGCAACGACAGCATCTCCAGAGACTGTCAATCTATTCTGTAACCAATAAAACATGGACCTACAGAACAAAAGCTATAAATCATTATTTTATGGCAGAAGCACTGAAATAATGAGTCAGTAATTCCTTTATCTACCAGCACATACAAGTTACAAGGAAAGTCAAGACCCTACCTATATGTAGCTCCACTAGAAACATAAAATATAGGTCTCAACCCCTCATTTTATTACTAAATAAAACTTACCCCAACTATAAAAGCATCACCACCACCATCACCAAAATCAAGGCTTTTCATGTGAATCTAACAGTGGTCCTGCTACTGGGGGAGTAAAGACAAAACTGCTTTGCAGAGTGAAATTTCCAGGAATGAGCACAAAGAAAACTGTATCTTTGCAAACCGCATCACCTATAGGCGGAAGGAGTGGGGGGGGGGGAATAATTTGCAACTAAATGGGCCTCGTCAACACTTGTTCTCTTTATTCTTCCGAGAAAACAAGTCAAATATTGTCAGTGCAAGCTCAAAAGCAGGGCAGGCTGGACAGCTGCCATGTCTTGGTCGCTGTTTATGGGGTCTCAACTTTATCAGCCACGCTTGTCTCAGGACTTTCTTGGCATTCCCACTGAAGGAGCTGTTTTCTCCCCATGCAGATTTCAACTCTGTATGATTAGATAAAGAGAAGGCTGTTTCAAAGAAAAACTTATTGGCAGAGGATTGGAAAGGCCGCAGTATTCCTGACTGGCAATGAAAGCCAGCCCAGCTGGTAACACTTCCCAGTTGCAGCCTGCACACCATGTATTCTGTGCACACCACAAAAATTAGTAATATATTTTAGGCGTGCTTCAGGAGCTTTGTGTGTTTCTCTAAAACTACCAGCACCTCATACCTACCATTTCCTACACAGCCCAGTGCTTTTGAGCCTGTTTTCTTGCAATCTATGCCAAGGAGGCTCATTCCTGTATTCAGACAGAGCCCTCCTGAAGCAGTCTTGTAGGCTCAGGAACAGAAAATCTCCCCAAATCAGGCATACAGTTTCCATGATGCCTCCAGAAAGTAAATAGACATTGCTCCTAGGTCTCTCCTATGAGACATTATTAGTCTAAAGGTGCAATGTTTAAAGAAAACAAGTGCATCCTGGTCGTATTAATGCCAGTTTTAGGCTCCAGTTTACCCTCTATGACAGAGGGGTGACATTTACCATGTGCAGGGAGGCCACTTCCCCTGTCCCCCTGTCCTGAGCTAGAATGAAAACAAGGAGTTCCCCAATTCAGCAGCATCGCTATGACCCCACATATACACACACATATGCACCAGATTAAACACAAAGAGCATTAACAAGAAGAAACGTAGGAGCTTTTCCCTGGCAGGCTGGTTTATATACAGGCTCTGGAGACTCTGAAATCATAAGTGATCCCCTGGGAGAAGGACAAAGAGCAAAAGGGCAGCGAAACAAAGTCACCGGGTGATTTATTTCCTGGATCTGCCTCACGCCGTCAGGATCTCCCACAGAAATGATGTCTATTTTCAGCTCCGTACAGTGAGAGCCCCAGCTGTAAAGCAGGTTCACAAACTTCTGAGCTGGATTCAGACAGATTCCCATGAAACTCTGGGATATTAAAATATGGCAACCACTTTTCTTCTGTTTATCAGCAAATGGTGATACCTGGGGCTATTACATGATGATTATAGGTCTGGACCTGAGAGAAAAATACAAGCACATATTTCTGAGCAAAACACATGTCCATGTCCCTCAGCTGATGGCATTCAGGTTCAGCTGTGCTGACTTTGCTCCATGCCAGAGCAGGACCTGATGTTACATGGCTGGGGTTGCTTGTTTTTCTGTCAGAGCTTGTGTTCATGACCAGGTTGGCCAGGCTGTGAGGCACCAGATCACAGGACTGCTCTTTAATCTGAAATACGTAAAAGATGCAGCTCCACTGTACTTATTGCAGCAGTAGAGAATCAGACCTTTCCTCTTGATGCATTTATACACAAGAAGAAGGGAGACAATTTAAAATATTCAGAAACCTCAAGTCAGACACCAGAGGCCTCAGACTCAGGGATGCTGTCTCAGAGAGATGCAAGCTGTGCCGGCTGCAAGATCACAACCTAAAACCAGTGATAATACGATCTCCTGCCTTGACTCAGCAGCTCTCCTTTCCAAGTGGAGACCACACATTTCAAGCTTACCGAAGCATCCTTCCTCCTGACTTTATTTATCACGCCAGCCCTGAATTTGCAGCTATCTCATCCCCTGGTGTTTCCTCGTCTTGACCGCGCTTCACACAAGGGAAATAAAAAGCGAGCTTCTCCTCCCGAACGTGACAGTTACTGACAGTGGTGGTGGGGGAGGGAAATGGTGCTGAGCGTTTTTGGAACCGAGACGGGAAATTAGAGTCGTATTTTTTTTCACTGGAACTGCCAAACGTTCTAAATCCAAGATGCAGTTTTATGTGTTCACCTATGACAAAATGTAATTGCTGCTCTTAAAGGTGAGCGACAGGGTCACCTTTGAGAGCAACATGAGCTGACATCTCTAATCCTGCATGTTGGGAAAGGTCTGCTCAAAATGACCATCACCACTGATCATTTGTCTAAGCCTCCACGCTGAGCTGTCCTAAGAGCTCTAATATTTCACATTAAACAACAACAACAACAACAAAAGATGAATACACGAACTAAATAAAGGGATAAAATCTCTTCCCTGCCCTTTTGGGCCCTAAACACTCCAGATAATCCAGCTCTAGAGATGGCTGGCAACAGAAGTCCAGTGAAATTGCAAGGGCTTAGAAAACAGAGTGTTTTCTCAAATTATCAGTATAAGTTATGTGGCATTAACAAAACCTTTGAGGTAAAGGACAGGTGGCCCAAGTTTGGAACTAGGTGCACAGATCAAAGGTTGTTACATTCAAAAATAGCACCTATACTGCACAAACTTATGGCAAAGAAGTCCATAACCATATAACCAACATGTAGCATAAGGCAAACCCTGCTAGCAGCTACGATGACCTCCTTCCTCTGGCAGCCTTTTTATTCTGGTTCATTATAAGGCTTTTTTCCCATTTTTCACTGGAGTTTCAGGTGCTAGCCCCTGCAAATGAACAGAGATTGGACAAGTGGGATCTGGCACGGCACTCAAATTCCCAAAAAACCAGTAAAACCGGCAAATAAGACCCTTCTGCAGCTCCTCCAGTGACAGAGAGGTTGCGGAGGCTACGAGGGGCCAGAGTGCAGAGATGACATTTCATGTCCAATGTCCCGCGCCGCAAAACAACCACAGACCTGGAAAAGCTCGAGTCTAGCCACATTTCAAAGGCACACTGAGATTTGTCCCTTTGCACAAGGTTTTCTGAGCTTCACGCACAGTTACACAAGAGAGGGCAACTTTCTAGACCAGACACCAATGGGGAAAAAAGCTCACGTGGGACAAGGCACAAGCGGAAAGCAGCCGAATCAGCAGGGCGAGCGGGCGCGCACCGCTCTGGGGCCGGGAGCTGCAATGCTGCAGTCTGTGTGTGTGTGTGTGTGTGGCTCCTGGACAAAGCCAGCGCAGGGGGCAGGACGCCTGATTTTGTGGGACCCCAGATGTACACCAGCACGAGCTGGAGAGCGGTAGAGCAGGAAAAGACTGAGCCCTGGCAACCTTATCCTGCATTATGGAAAGCCCTCCTGAGCGAATAGCAACTTACTCTTGCATAAGCAAGCATTAGGGGTAAGGAGCGTGTAGCTAAGAGATAAAGCGGGTAATGAGGATCATGTCTAATTCCTCACACTCTCCCACCAAGCCTTTTTTTCTACACGCTGCTGCTCTTTTGACAAGAGCATGGAATAGACCTGAAACTTGAACTTCCGCTGCGATGCAGAGGATGGCAGAGTCCTTTCCAGAGAGGCCTGAGATGTTGGAGATGGAGCTGCACATCCCTATGCAAAGCTGTGCTGCTTTGGCTTGGTTTGCATGCAACTTTGCATGCATCAACACTCACATCACTTCATACCTGGCTTTCAGACTGCCTGGAAAAGGTATGGGCTGATGATTAAATGACTTGAAGGTAAAGCATCCATTACCCATGCTATGCTCCAGCACGGCAGAAGCACATGTCTGAGAATAAACCCTGTGGGAGTAGCTGTGAGCAGCTCCTGAAGAGCAGCTGACACCCTATGGAAGTCTTTTTTTGGTGGTTTCTTGGCTGTCCTCTGAAGTTCAGAGGCACGCTGCAAAGCGTCACAACTTGTTTTAAGCTGCCTGCCAACCTAAAATTGCACTTGCTAAACCCAGCTGATTTAAGTTAAGACCATACAGCTTCCACATTAGGAAATGCTCCCTGTCAATACCTTGAATAAAATAACAGCACATTGGTTAGGACATCACGGGGGATCAGCAGACTTTGGTCACTGTTAGACAACACCACTGGCCAAAGCACTGCATTTATTAGCACTCTTGTTTTCCCTGTCTGAATAAGAGAGGAGGATATTCCCCAGACTAGGTAGACAGATAATTAATAATTTACATGATTCAGAGATATTTGAAGGCAAACAGGCGATGAGCAGTGTTTCCCTTGTTAAGTATGGGGGTTACTAACGCTAACACAGTCCACCCTTCTCACTGGACCACCAGATAAATGCAGAGATCCAGTAGGAGAGGAAAAAAACCCCCAAAACTTAGGCAGACCAAAACCAACCAAGGGCTCTGCATCGTAACGACGCCAGGATGCGCATCCCCAAAGTGCACTGCGAGCAGCCTGTAATGAAATGAAATGAAATGAAATGCCTGGCTGTCATCGCCCAGCCGGGGAAACCACCACGTGTTTCAGCCCATAGCACCTCTGGCTGCGCTCCAGCAGCAGCAGTAAATAGAGCAGCAGAACAAGCTCCTGCGTGAAAGCTACAAGGAGCTGTGGCAGGGATGGCAAAACAGGAGGGGTGCTGTGGGTCTCCCTTGCTTTCCCTGCTGCTGCTGCTCTGGAGAAGGATCCTCACTACAGCTGATGCCTCAAGAGATGTTGTTTTTATTCCTATTTACTTGATTTTTACCCAGCCCAGGCCCAGTGCAGCCTGAACTCCAGTCTGAACGCCAGCCCAGCCGGGTGGTGCAAGGCAGGGAAGCTTCACTTGCCCAGGGGTGCTCCTGCCCTTACCCCTCCACAGCTGGGGCACGGTGGGAGCCAGAAAACGCCACCCACCAGCCCCCTCCCTCTCCTCCCAGGGTTATTTT